CCCAAAGCTCAGATTCTGCTGTTTGCATACTTCAAAACTCTAATCAGTTTGTCACGGGTAATAATGCCAACCTTGGTCTAAATGAGAGCTTCAAGTCTCAGTCTATGAATCAGTAAGATGCTTGTGTGGCAGTGTGCTGGAGTATAAAAATAGCAGCTTAAGGATAAGTAGGCACCAGGTCTCCTGCTGGTGAGAGGAACAGTGCCTCTGCCTCCCCCCCTCTTCCTTCTACAAGCAATCACCAAATACCTACCGTCTGCCCAGTATTCCAGTGCTGTATGTATGCCCAAGGCCAGGAGGCTTCCTCTCCACCCCCAACAAAAAAAGTCAAATCTCAGTTTACATCTGGACAATTTACTGGGTAGGATGTAAAATAAAAGATGATGTATTAATGCAACAACTAGATGTTGTTGCAACTCCCAGGAAACGATACCCACCCACCCCCCACGTCCATACCTCCCTTCCCTGACCACGCCACCTTCGCATTGCCAGGACCCTAGTCGCTGACAACGACTAAGACCCAAACCACATAACCCGATGGCTTGGCTTCAAGCTCTAGCTCTGCAACAGCATTAGGATCCTTGCCAAGATTTACCTTCTGCCATCTGTAAAATGGAAACAGTACTTACTGCACTAGGTTGATTGGCTGGACTAAATAAGTTAGTGTATTTGAAGCCCCCGACACAGTGTCAGGAGCCAAATGCTCAAAAAAGAGAACGTGTAATTGGCACAACAAGTCGAAGTCCTAAGCTCTTTTCAGCTCTAGAAGTTTGTGCAGTCTACAGTAGGGTAACAACGCAGGATAGCAAATATCCAAAACAGCTCAAAGCTCTCCAGCCCCTGAAGCTACACCACCAGAGAGAAGTCAGCAGCGGCCGTGCCAGCCCCTAATCATCAGCTAGACATCGGGTCAAGAGAAGCATAGCTATCTTCATTTTGTAGATAAGGCCAAGGACGAGACTGGAGAGGGAGGTTAAATGACTCAATGTCACACTGCTGAGAAGCAGTGGACCTGATTCTACCGTTCGTGCCCGCCTCAGTGTCTTTCTCTGCCTCCCATAATACTGCAAGCACTCAACTGTAAATAACACTGATGTTTTTCCGGATCTTTAAAACGACGGGAACAAGACCTCTTTCCTAGAGAAATAAGTTGGCATCGTCATTCAACTGCCCACAATTTGACGCTCCTGCGTTCTCCGCCGCTAATGACCTCCTCTAGCAACCTGTCCTCCCTCTCCAGCAGCCGCCAGCCTTAGAGGCCTCGGTGTGCCAGTGTTCGCCCGCGGCCGCTCAGACACAGCCCCCTCGGCGGAGTGCACGCTCGCACTCTCCCCCTACGCCTCCAAAAGCCCACCGCAAGTTTCCCGGACCCTGAGACCCACGCCGAACACCTCGGGCCGGCTTACCCTCCGGCAGGGCCCAAGAATCAAGCCAAACAGACGAAGGAAAGGCAGGTGACGCAACAAGGCCTCCTGCTTCAGGGCCAGCCCCAGGCTGCGCGCCACGACCGCGACCCCCGCGTGGGATCCCACGGTGGGCACCTCCGCGCCCCCGCACTAGCCAAGCCAGGGCGCCGGGCAGGCTCCCGAGGCCAGGCGCCGGCGCCCCGCATCCGCGGGGAAGGATAGGCACGGCGGGAGGGCCTCGGGTACCCAGCGGCTCCCGCCCGCAGCAGCGCCCGAGCATCCGCGCAGTCCCGCCGCACCCTCCGCCTCCACCACTGCGCCTCCTTCCACGGCGCCGCAGGCTGCGGAGGCGGCGGCGGCGGCCTGCGGGAGGCGAGCGGCCGCTTACCCGCGCGCGACTCCTCCGACGCTGCCCACTCCTGAGCCTGCCGTTGCGCCGGACCTTCCCGGCGGGTCCCAACGCGCAGTCCTCCACCTTCAGTCAGGAATCAATGGCTGGGGCGCAGATTGGTGACATCACTGGCGCGCCGGCGTGGGAGGGAGGCCCATGTGATGCATCCCTCTTTTGTTTGAGCCCTGGGAAAATGAGGGTGTTTGTGGCTCCGTCTGCCTTAATAGCTCGCCATCTGAGGAGGGCATTTTTGTGTGCATGGTGGGAACCAGGTACTTGGTGTCAGGACACTGCGGTTTTGCTCGGGGCCTCGATTCTACTCCCCAGTCCCCCTTAATGGGGTTTGGTTGGAAGACCCGAGAATATGTATAGATACAGCCTTGGAGACCACAGAACTGGTTGTCAGTGTGCTATAACCAGTAGACTTTGGATGATTTGGGAAAAAGCAACATAATGAGATCTAGAGAGATGGCTCCGGGGCCAAGAGCACCAGCAGCTCTTCCAGGGGGACGCCCTGTTAGATTCCCAGCACCTGCATGGGGGCTCACAACCATCTGTAACTCCAGTTCCAGGGAAATCGTCGTATGCGCCCTCTCCTGGCCTCCACTGGCACTGCACACGTGTGGTACACAGACATACTACATGCAAAAACACCCGTGCTCGTCAAATAAACCAACATAACGAACACATCTTCAAGTTGACACCCACCAGAAAAACATACTTCCAATGAACCTTTCGTCACTTTGTAAGTGGTCCCAGTCTTCTACTGTCGCCTTCCCCTCAGTAATTACTCCCGTCTTGAATTTGCATTTACACAGCTACAACATAATTTATTTTCACATCTTATCACTAAGCAACCCATTTTTTATTAGTTGTGTGTCTATTTCCTGGGGCTTTCATTTTCACAAACCTGTTAAGTGTCACCTCTCATAAGCTGCATACTGCACATTTTCACTGTTAGAGGACAGTTTATTATGTATTTATTATCTATGTATCCCTTCTCTAACTATGTAAACACAATTTTCAGTCTTCTATTTCCAAATGTGACTATGATCACTGTCTTCTGGTGCCATTGTATAAAAACTTCTTGAGTATTTTTATCTAGATGCAAGACTGATGGGTCTTTGGTATGTTAATGGTCCATTTTGTAGCTTAAGTACCTAATTTTTATAGAAAGTATTTATACCATGTTGTATAGTGATTTCTTCCTCTTGTTAAGACTCAGGGACTAAGCCTGGTGTGGTGACATGCACCTTTAACCCCAGCACTTGAGACAGAAGCAGGCAGATCTCTGAGTTCAAGTCCAACCTGGTCTACAAAGTGAGTTCCAGGATGGCCAGGGCTACGCAGAGAAATCCTGCAACCAAAAGAAAAAAGAAAGAAAGAAAAGAAAAGACTCAGGGAATTAACAAAACTTGTAAAGCTCAGGAGGCTCCTGAAACTTACAAGATTTACAAGCCCCCCCCCCCCCATTACATAACCAGTAATGTTGCTGGGAGAGAAGACACGACTGGCTGGCTGCTCTGCCTTCCCTATGTGCAGAGCTCCAGGGATGCAGCTTTTGTGGCTTGTCACCTATGCTGGGTGAGCTTTTGAGTGATTTGTTAAGTGTCACCTCTCATAAGCTGCATACTGCACATTTTCACTGTTAGAGGACAGTTTATTATGCAAGTAACCCCAGTAAACTCAGGTTTGTCCAGTTGGACTTCGGTACAGTCAGGACTTTGGCCTGTCATTCATCCCCTATCTCAAGTGAGCAGATGTTTGCATCTCCACAGGAGAAGTCACAGAACATTTACTTACAGCTAGTATTTATGCTTTCTCTAATACCTCAGATCTTTTTTTTTAAGAGTTTATTATGTATGCAGTGTTCTGCCTGCATGCCAGAAGAGGGCGCCAGATCTCATTACAGATGGTTGTGAGCCACCATGTAGTTGCTGGGAATTGAACTCAGGACCTTTGGAAGAACAGCCAGTGCTCTTAACCGCTGAGCCATCTCTCCAGCCCTAATACCTCAGATCTTAACTTTTGTTATCGAAAAGTAAGGTGGTTGGCAAAGAACATTTCCTGTCTCCAAGCGGGTTCTTGTCACACCCTCCTCCAAGAATGGAGTAGGCAGATAAAGCAGAGTGTACAAATAGGAGGTACCTTACTGTTGATTCAGGATCAACAACCTTAAGTGGAATAAAAACAACTTTAAAGAAATTACCACGTGGGACTTAACAAGTCAAATGGAACAGGTTTGGACTCTGGGACCAGCAGGGGGCCTGCAAGAAGCATTATAGCCCTGAGAAGGCTTTCAGCGAGCTTTGGGGTCCCAACCAACAGCAGTGCCTTGCAGAACAAGTTTTCAGATCATCAACAGGAATAACCGTAACAGCAGGCACATCTCTTGTGGGTCTTAGGGGCTAAGGGCAGCTGCAGAGGCAAGCTCCCTTTTACAGCTGAAGTGCGGTGTCTTAGAGTCTGAGGCAGGAATGGGTGAGGCTGGCTTGGGCAAACACCCTACTCAGAGGAGAAGCTCCAGGTGGCAGAAGCCTTAGGCACATGGAGCCCCTGGCAAGTCCATCCCGGTGAGTCTTGAAGACAGTCTTGCTTCTCTGAAGAGTGAGCCCGCTGAGAGCCAGACCCTGAAGTCTTTAGGCTTCCTCTGAAAACGGCAGGGGCGCCTGGAGATCAGCGCACCCCTCCCCGCCCTCCACCCTCAGACCCCAGCCTGAGCCAGAAGCTGGACCCTGAACCCTTCCGTGCCTTCTTCCTCCAATAATTCTGTGATTCTGTCTATGTGTATGAATTTATAGGGTGCCAGCTGGGCCCTGATTGACAGATTGTGGGTATGCAAATAAGATGGGGGAGAAGAAAAAAAAAAAAGACCAATCGGGAAAGAACTGTCAACCGGGGAAGAATCATAAGCCCGCTGAAAGTTGCCAAAAGTTAACAGGAAGGTAGGCAGGGCTCTGCCTCTCTCTACAGCTGTGTGAAAACAGACTCTTGTAAGAAAGTTGTCCTTTTCCTGGTTGCCATGGTGATCTTACAGGCTATCACCTGCTTCCCTTTAGCAGCCGCTGGGGCTGCTTCAACAGCTATCAGCATTCTGGAGCCTACTGGCTGCCAGAAATTTCCACATCCGGGTCCAGGAAGAGCACCTACTAACAATAGGTGTTAGATGGAATCCCATCCTGGCCTTATTATCTACCCTTAAACATCTCTTCTACTTAGGATAGGTTGTCTGCAGTCCTCTGCTGTGAAATGGATTTCAGGGCTGAGCAAGGAAAAAGATATGACCTGGAGATGGCTGTAGCGATGACAAGATGGCACATTTTATTTGGGCCAATTTTGCACTGCAAGGGAGACCCCTTCCTCTCAACATAAGATCCAGAGATTCTGGGAGTGAGGAGAGCCATCCAAACGTTAAGGAAAATGTGGAAACTCCAGGGGAAAGAATTTACCATCATAGTGTCCAGCAGTCTAAGGGTGAACGGTCTGGGGTATAAGTGGGGTACCAAGACCAATTGCTCTTTGGGGTAAGAGGTTTATTAGTAGAGTTATTAATGTTGTGGTCAGACAGCAACATGGGCGGGGCTCTGATGAGAGTTCAGGATCCCATAGCAGAGTGGGGAACGGCTTCTTACAGGTCTTAAAGGAAGGCAGAAGTATGTGTCATATAGTCAAGCTGTCGTTGACTCCTGGGCATCAGGGGGAAGGTAGGAACTTCCTGGGTGATGACCATTCTGAGGGTCTGCGGAGGAGGGGCATGTTAAGTTAAGACATACCCATTATACAGGAGGAAGATGTATTGCCACCAGCAGCCCTTTGATGTCCCAGAAGTCTGAAGGAAAAAGGCATCTGTCAGTCTCCTGGAATCCAGACGTCTGGAGAGACTGTTTATAGACTCAGATGGGTTCTCTGTACGGTGTCTGTCTCTCCCTGTAGCAGAAGGGATCCTGGAATCAAGTATGAGGATGGAGAGTGAGATGGCCGGGGAGCCAGACCAGAGCCATGACAGGTTTTAATAGTCCTGCCAGGGACCGGGCCTTAGTTTCGGTTTACTATAACTGTCTGGAGCTGAGCAAGCAGTTCTCCGGAAGACCACAACTCAGGGGCAACCAATCAGCAGGCACCTCCAGCCTTCAGCTAGCTAAAGATAGCTTTCCTTATCCTGCAGCCAGAAGGTTCCCAACCACTAGATTCTCCCACCAATCAGTCCCTTGACTAATCTTTCCTCCACCAATCAGCACCAGGTTAATCCCTCCTCCCTGGACTTCCCCTAACTCTGCTTAAAAGGAGCTTGTGACCTCCCTTCGGGGTCGCTATTTGCCACCCCAACATGTTGGAAATAATAAATGCTCTTGTTGATTGCATACGTGACTGATGGTCTTTCTTGGCGGCTTCTTTCGGACCCTAACGGAGAGGGCTACAGATGAGCACAACTTCAACAGTGTCTGTCTGGTCTGGGATTTAGCATTTCTTCCCTTGCATCCTGGTGGAAAAAACCTGAGGAAAAAAACCAGTTAGGCGACTTTGTCCCAGACCTTGTCTGGGACTGGCCAACTGGCTGCCTCATCCTAAGTCTGGGATTTGAGGTCCCCTTCATGGGGAAGGGTTAGGGTTGATCAAAAACAACTGCAAAAATTGGTGGTTAGCACCTCAAGGCTGCCCAGTTGGGGGGGGCGGGGCGTGCCGAAAAGTACAAGAATACATCCTGTGGAAGGGGAGTCATCATAGGTGTTCAGGAGTTTAGCAAGGCAAAGAGGTGGGTATACATCATGAGGTTACAAGTTCAGCATAGGCTGAAAAAACTTGGTTTGCAGAATACATTAGGCTTGGGAGATAGAAATTTATTCCTGTAAGGTATGGAGACTTAATAACAATGTATCACCATGTGGCTCCTGTTTGGGTTTCACACTTACCGGGGAGCAGGTTACAGATTCACAGAGGGGTGGGGGACTTGCCAGTAGCTGAGAGTCTGGGGAGAGAGGGAAAGACTGCTGTAGGTGAGTGTGGCTGGATTAGCCTGCAGCCCGGAATCTAACAGCGGGGACTTTGTGACCCAGGAACTGCCCAGCTGCGGAACTTACCTGATCTGTAACTAGCAGGTTTTGTCACAGGCTCATAAGATCCAGGCAAATATGGCGGGCGAGTGGCTAAAGATCTGCTTACTTGGGCAAAGTTTAAAACACTTAGATGGGGGCTGGGGTGGGGCCCGATGTTTCTGAGTCAAGGAGCACCCTTGAACCTAGGAACTCAAAACCAGCCTAGGAAGCATAGCAAGAGCTCATCTATAGCAAAACAAAACCCTTCTTGAATATGCAAACGTCTGGGCTTAGTGCTGTTGACAAACTTCTGATCTGATAATCCCAGTCTGTTGTGAAGAAATAAGCAAGCAAGGGGCCCGCCCATTGGCCCATCCTTGTTCCGTTTATACAGAGGTGGTTCCTCATGTTTCGTCCATTGTTTTAGTAGAGTGTTGGTCTAACTTTCTCGTGTAATATGAACATGTTCTTTGTCAATTTTATTGCAAGTTCTCTCCCATTTGTGTCTTTTCACTTTCTACTTTAAAAATAGATATTCTTAACTTTGAATTTTTTGTCTTTTTTTTAAAAGTGGTTTCTTTTTGGCCTCACAGGTTATTTAAACAGCATGCTCAGGGATAGAGGTGTCATTCAGTGGTAGGGTGCATTCCAGGTATACACACACAAGGCTTTGAGTTCAGTTTCCAACATCAGCCATTAAAAATAAAATTGAAAGCAAATTGCTTATTTCTATAACTATAGAGATTTAAAATTAGCCTCTACTATAATTGTCTTATTATCACTGCATACTTTTTTTTTTTTTTAAAGATTTATTTATTATGTATACAGCATGTGTGCCTGCAGGCCAGAAGAGGGCACCGGATCTCGTTACAGATGGTTGTGAGCCACCATGTGGTTGCTGGGAACTGAACTCAGGACCTCTGGAAGAGCAGTCAGTGCTCTTAACCTCTGAGCCATCTCTCCAGCCCCCCACTGCATACTTTTTATAATACTTTTCTTTTCAAAGTCCTTTTTGCTTGGTAGCCCAGCCTCAGTTTCAGGCAAGCCAGAGCTACAGAGCAAAGAGGTTGGCAGCAAACACCTTTGGTCCCAGCACTAGGGAAAGAGAAGCATTCCAATCTCTGATCTAGCCCAGCCAGGTCTACATAGTGAGCACCAGCCACCAGAACTATATAGTGAGACCCCACCTGGGAGAGATGTACGCTTTTAATCCCAGCACTCAGGAGGCAGAGGCAGGCCGATCTCTGTGAGTTCCAGGCCAGCCAGAACCACACATTGAGACCCTGGCTCTAAATAAATAAATAAATAAATAAATAAATAAATAAATAAATAAATAAATAAAATGGAAGAACGATCAGTAAAGATTCCTGTTGTCACTTTTAGGTCTCCACATATTATCACACACACTGGTCCATATTCACATATGAGCATGTACACACTCACACCCCTTGCACACACCCCAAACCTGTAAGCAGATGTTTCTCTGCCACCCACCAGTTCCCAAATAACCACTCAGAGGCTTAATATTACTTATAAATGCTCAGTCGATAGCTCAGGCTTCTTACTAGCTAACTCGTACACTTAAATTAACCCATATTTCTATTTATACTTTGCCCCGTGGCTCATGGCTGGTTACCTTATTTTTAACATGTCCTTCTTGCTCAGTGGCTGGCATCTCTCCCAACACTGCCCTCCTTCCCATCTTTCTGAGTTTGGCTTTCCTGCCTAACTTCCTGCCCAGCTACCAGCCTATCAACTTTTTATTAACCGATGAGAGCAATACATATTCATTGTGTAGAAAAGGATTGTTCCACAGCAAAAACCCAAAAGTAGAAGATAAAACCAAACAGGGTGCAGTGGTTCATGTCTGTAATCCCAGCACCTGGGAGGGGAAAGGAAGAAGATCAGGGGTTAAGAGCATCCTGGGCTACAGAGTGAGTTTTGGTCTACCCTGGAACACATGACACCTTGTCTTTAAAGGAACAAATCAGGGCGCTGGAGTGATCGCTCAGCAGTTAGAATAATGGCTGCTCTTCCAGAGGACCAGGGTTAGAATCCCAGCACCCATATGGTGGCTCACAACCATCTGTAACTCCAGTTCTAGGGGATCCAGCTTCCTCTTCTGGCTCCTGTAATGTATGCATGTGGTAATCAGATATACAAGTAGGCAAACCACTCATACACATAAAGTAAAAAGAAATAAATGGATCACTGGATAAACAGGTAAGCAGACAGACAGCTCAGTTTGCTCCCCCGCCCCAATACAATAGACCTGAGACCTCTCTGCAGTGGGAGAGGCAGGCATAAGGGAGTGCAGTATAGTGAAGGGCCCAGGCCTTCACTACTTTAAATCAACTTTTAATCGATCTTCCCATTTCTAACTCTGACTTTATCTTCACTCTGGAGTCACTAGGTGTCAGAGCCATTCAACCTGGCTTCTTCAGTGGGTATTAATTTGCTTCTCCTATGAGAATGTCCTCAGCTTCTCTGTGATGTCATTCATTGTTCAGTTTCTAATTATAATGTCTTTCGTTTTTTTTCTGTTGGGGTGTCCCAGTCACAGCTTATGGACTAGGTTTTCTTTTTCTCACTTATTAGAATTGCCACATTTAACTGCTATAAACTAAACTATTTATATGTGGCTCTCTTCCTGGATTTCATTAGGTATCATTGTTCGCTTACTTAGGGCTGAGCGTTCAAGCATTCACCAGTCGATTCTTCTCAGAATCTGTATACCTTCTTTGGTGAGATAAACACAGGCAAAACACACATATAAACAATTACAACTTTTTGAAAGACAGCAATAGTTGACTCTTTAAAAAGACTGAGAAAGGTTGTTCTGGTGGGATGGTGAGTCTGGAGTTTATTTTGGTTAAAAAAATTGATCTAAAGGCATGCAACACCACTACCAGGCTGGTTTTTTTTTTTTTAAAGTGAAATCTTATGTAGCCTAAGCTGTCCTCAGAGTTGCTATATATGGGTAGATGACCTTGAACTCCAGCTCCCAGGTGCTGAGATGACAGGCATGTGCCATTGTGCCCATAGAAAGCTGATGCACCAACTTTCCTCTTCTTTATTTTCCTTTGTGGTACTATATTGGTTGCCTTTAATCCCAGCAGGCACATCGAAGCCAGCCTGGTCTACAGATCGAGGTCTAGGACAGCCAAGGCTACACAGTGAGACCCTGTCTTGAAAAACAAAACAAAACAAAAATCCAACCCAAATAACAAAATAAAACAAATAACTTAAAATGAAACCCTCAGCTTTGTGGAAATATGATAAAATCCAAGGCTAGTTTCAGGTTAGCCTTGGCAGTTTAGCAAGACTGATTCAAAAACAAACGAGTGAAATTCATAGATTTACCTATTCTAGATCTTTTTTTTTTTTTTTTTTGGTTTTTCGAGACAGGGTTTCTCTGTGTAGCTTTGCGCCTTTCCTGGAACTCACTTGGTAGCCCAGGCTGGCCTCGAACTCACAGAGATCCGCCTGGCTCTGCCTCCCGAGTGCTGGGATTAAAGGCGTGCGCCACCACCGCCCGGCAATTCTAGATCTTTTACGTTAGTGGAATCATATGACTTTCACTTGTTTGTTTTTTAATCAGTCTTGCTAAACTGCCAAGGCTAGCCTGAGACTAGCAATCCTCCTGCCTCAGCATCCTCAGTGTTGGGGTTATAGTTATGGACTACCACACCTAGTGTCAAGACAAGATCTTTTATAATGGCTTCTTTGCTATCACAGGACATCTTTGAGGATCAGCAACGCTGTAGCATATACACCAGTAGATGAAAGTATCCTGGAGATTCCACAACAGTGTTCCACGTGCTGATGCAACACATTTGTTTATCTGTTTCTGAAATGTTTCATCATCTCTAGTCTTTGGAATTCTGGATAACACCACTATGAATGTTTGTGTGTTTTTGAATGAAAATGTTTTCATATCTTCGTGTAGATATTTTCATTTTTTTCCTTGTGAGAGGGAACTAGAAGGAGAATTTCTGAGTTAGATGATAATCCTACGTTTAACATTTTGAGGGACTGCCAAAGTGCTTCCCGGGTGTTGGGAACACTTTACATCCCCATCTGCACTGTACACGGGTACTGGTTCTCCACATCCCTTCCAACACTTGCTAATGTCTTTTTGAGGATCACCACCTGGTCTAGGCAAATCCACTGCAGGTGGGTGAGAACTGATCGTAAGGGACTGTGACGCCAGAGGCCGACTGACCCAGGGCTATGCTCAGTATGACTGGTTAGAGACTTGGTCACAAGACCCCTGTGATTTGGGCCAGAGAGGCTGGACTAATACAGTGACCAGAACAAAATCAGTTTTCATTCATACTGGAATGAGTCTGGTTTATCTTGATCTCATATGAAAGGCATCAAGCAGATTCCTGACCGTCACAGTACTAGGGTCTGGTCTAAAAACTTTGATCTTCCACTCTATGGTTTCGGTTTAGCTTGGATCTCTACACTGTGGAGGTGATGTGTGGTCTCTTTCTTTTTTTTTTAATAGCTTTTTAAAAAATATGCCGGGCGGTGGTGGCGCACGCCTTTAATCCCAGCACTCGGGAGGCAGAGCCAGGCGGATCTCTGTGAGTTCGAGGCCAGCCTGGGCTACCAAGTGAGTTCCAGGAAAGGCGCAAAGCTACACAGAGAAACCCTGTCTCAAAAAACCAAAAAAAAAAAAAAAAAAAAAAAATATTTGTTTATTATGTATACAGTGTTCTGCGTCCATGTATGCCTGCAAGCCCGAAGAGGGCACTAGATCTCATAGATGGTTGTGAGCCACCCTGTGGTTGCTGGGAATTGAACTCAGGACCTCTGGAAGAGCAGCCAGTGCTCTTAACCTCTGAGCCATCTCTCCAGTCCCAACATGTGATTTCAATCTGCCTTTGGTTGGCATTTCCCTAAGGAATTGATGTATTCCCTCCCGGAGGGTGAAAAGAAATTCCTAAGGATAAGGAAGCTAATACATTTCACAGGCCTGGACTACTTAGAACGTTAAGTGACTCACAAACCTCCCCAGGGTTATGGAAGCAGTAAGCAATGGCTGGAGGAGACTCTGGTGGAGCTGCCTGTAAGTTGTTCAGAGTTTGGGGATACAGCTTTTGTAAATCACCACGGCTGACGTGGGCTTCTAGTCTCCCATGCTCTGATGAGTAACCCTAATAAACTCATGAGTTCATCAAGCCAGGCTTGCTTGACTGAGATTGCTGTTTTAGTCTGCTGTGGGTACTCTGTCTGGGGTGAATAGAAATTTGTTCATAATTCCCCTGGAAAAGTCACACAACTACTGATAGGTGTTTGTATATCTCCTGGAAGAGTTTGTCTTCAAACCCTTTGTCCATAGTGTTAATGGCTGGCTGTCTCCTTGTTAAAGTATGAGTTATTTATCAGATATGGGATTTGCAAATATTTTCCTCCAGCTTAAGGTCCACCCCCACTCTCCTACATCTTTTTCAGATGAGGTCTTAGTCTGTAGCACAGGCTAGCCTCAGACACATGGAAATCCTCCTGCCTTAGCCCATAGGGATGAATCAGCATGGGCTCTCCACTTTCTTGAAGCTTAAGGTTCACTGGAGTGCCATGCACACTGAGCAAGCACTCTACCACTAAGCCGGCCCTACCAGCCCCCAAATTGATTCTTACTGCCCTTTTATTTTTTGGTGTGGGTGTGCTGGTATGCACACATGCAGAGGCCGGAGCAAGACATTTGGTGTCTTCCGCTGTTGCTGTCTGCCTTATTGACTTGAGACAGGGTCTCTCAGCAGACCGGGAGCTTGTCTTCATGGCTGGATCAGCTGGCCAGCAAGCTCTTGTCTCTCCCTCCTTTGTGCTGGGCTTACAGGCACGTGAAACCATGGGGGTTTTCATGTGGGTGCTGGATCTTCATGCTTACAGAGTGGGGGATCTTATCCAGTGAGCCATTGTCCAGCTCTGTGTTTGTGTTTTTTGAGACAAAGTTCAGGCTGAACAGGAAGTCACTATGTAGGCCATGCTGACTTTGAACTTACTGAAATCTTCCTGCCTCATCCAGAGTGCTGGGATCATACCACCTACACTACTACATATAGCTTGCCAAAGACTTTTGGGTTCTATAATTTATTCTAAGTTTTTTTTTTTTTTTTTATAGAGCTAACTCTTACATTAGGTCTGTTATAGTTTCTGCATTGGGGTGATATGGGGGCCCACAGAGACTCCCTAGTAAGGCCTTACTCAAGGTCAGAATGTCTGAGCTTGCTTTACCTAGCAGGGCTGCATAACAGGATGATTTGGCCAAGGGCGTGGTTTTCAGGTGTTTTGAGGGGTCTACACTTGTTGGTACTTTATACCTCAACCTTGAGAGGGGGATATCTTTTGCTCCTCCCCTTGCTGGTGTATAAAAAGCCCATCATGATTAAAGTTGAAGCGAGTGGGTATTGACCCAGGGCCCTCCCAAAGCTATCTTATGTCTCTGTCTTTTTCTACACCTATATTTCTATCTTAAACTTCATTCCTCTCTCCTCTCCCAAAGAACCCTTTGATAGGTTGGAGCTGGACTCTGTCAGGGTGAAAAAACAGATCCAGCTTAATTATTCTGAACATTGCTGTCCAGTTGGCTCAGCACTGTTGGTTGAAATGTTCCTTCTTTATTCATTTGCCTTGATAACCTTGTCAAAAGTCAACCATAAGTGTAAAGGATTGTTAGTAGATTCTCGGTTTGTTCTATTGACCATCCTTATGTCAACACCACATTTAATTATTATTATATTTCCATTGAGAAATTAGATGTGGGAAGTGGAGTCTTCCAACTTTGTTACTTTCTAATATCAAAGTAATTTTTATACATTTCCCCTGTCATGTTTGTCTTTCAGAAATACATATCTATCATACACATGCATATATATTTTTTAAGACAGAGTTTGACGAATCCCAGGTGAGGCAGGGAGTTCTAAGCCCAGGTTAGGGACCTGGAACTCTACTTGGTTTGGCCTGTGTACACATTGCTCTCCTAACAGGGTCCCTACCAACCTGGGACGCTTACCTGAATCTAACTGCACATATACCCAACTTCAAACAATGGGCAGAACTTGGGGCTCTGTGCATGTTAAGCAAGTACTCCACATGCAGTCCCTACAGGGTCAGTTCAGTGCAGAAATCTTTGTGAATCTGATTTTGCTTCTTTCTTTCTCTGTCTCTCTCTGCCTCAGTTTCCCCCACTTTCCTCATAGTCCAGACGAATCTTGAACTCCACATCTTCCTTCCTTCATCCCCAAGTGCTGGGATTAGAAGTGTAACACCACATCCTGCTACTTTTTCACATTCTGTCGTTTTTTTTTTTTTTTTTTATTATAGTAGTGTTTGTTGAAGCTGTCCTTATAAGTTTTGAAGCTACATTAGAGGTCTGATCCTTTAGAAAAACGGATATCCACCTGAAGAAAATGAAATGAGATCAACTTCTCTTACTCTGCACAAAAATCAACTCAAAGTCTATCTTAATTTAAAACCTGAAACACCTAATGGCAAACATTTCAGAATTGTAGGCGGACTTTTCTATCCCCAAATAACCACACAGAGACTTAATATTAATTATAAAAGCTTGGCTGAGAGCTTAATCTTGTTTTTAGCTAGCTCTTGTAACTTAAATTAACTATTTCTACTCATGCATGTGCTGCCCCGAGGCTCACTCACCTCATGTGCGCACTTCCCAACCTGCTCACGCTGCCTCTCATGGCGTCTCCTCAGACTCTGCCCTTCTTCTCCTCAGTGTTCTCTCTGCCCAGAAATCCTGCCTAGCCACCAGCCAATCAGCTTTTTATGAACAATGAGAGCAACACATGTTCACAGTGTACAGAAGGATTATTCCGCAGCACAGAATAAATGAGTGGGCAAGAACTTCCTGAATAGAACCACAGTAGCACAGGAGATAGCCCCACGAATTGGCAAAAACAATTACAGGAAATTGAAGAGCTGCCCAGCAAAGAAACTCTCAGCAGAGTGGACGACCACAGAATGGCAAGGAACCTTTGCCTGCTATACTTTAGACAAGGGTTGATACACAGACTATATAAAGAACTGCAAAAGTTGGACACCAAAACCAAGATTGCCAACTGGTAAATGGGTTCACGAACTGAACAGACAGTCCTAATAAATTTTTTGTTTGTTTGGTTTTTTTTTTTTTTCAAGACAAGTTTTCTCAGTGTAGTTTTGGTACCTGTCCTGGATCTTGCTCTGTAGACCAGGCTGGCCTCGAACTCACAGAGATTCACCTGCCTCTGCCTCCCAAGTGCTGGGATTAAAGGCGTGTGCCACTGCCTTGTGCCAATAAATATTTTTAAAGCATTCAACATCCTTAGCCATCAGGAAAATACAAATTGAAGCTACCCTGAGCTTCCATGTCACCTCAGCCAGAACTGCTATCATCTAGAAACAAATGGTAACAGATGCTGGTTTGGGGGCAGGGGAGGATGTGGGGAAACGGGAACAGGTATTCACTGTTGGGGCCAATGCAGACTGATAGAGCAGCTATGGAAGCTAGTGTGGAGGTTTCTCAAACAGCTAGAAGTGTATCTACCGTATGATTCAGCTAAACTTCTCACTGGACATGTACTCAAAAGTCACATGTCACAGAGATACCTGCACATCCATGTTTATTGCTGATCAATTCAAAATTGCCAGAGAAATGAGCCAGCCTAGCGGGATGGATGATACTCAGTGGAATTTTATTTAGACATAAAGAAATAATTACTTTTTAATGCATCAGGATTCTCCAAACTCAAAATCATTTTGTCAGGTGTGGTGGTAATGCCTGCGGTCTCAGCACTGAGACAGCCTGAGAGGCTGAGTGTGGTGATACTTTGTTGTACTCTATAAAATCTGCCTGAAGATCAGAGGACAGAGCCAGCCACTACATTAAACACAGAGGTCAGGCAGTGGGGGCACACACACCTTTAATCCTAGCACTTGGGAGGCAGAGATCTGTTTGGATCTCTGTGAGTTCAAGGCCACACTGGGCTACATGAGATTGATCAGTCTAGAAGAGAAACAGAGTCAGGCAGTGGTGGCACACACCTTTAACCCAAGTATTTGGAAAGCACACATGCCATTAATCCCAGCACTCGGAAGAGATAGGACTTGACATGGCTGGGTGGAGAAAGGCATATAAGGCATGAGGAGACAGGAACTAGAGAGCCTTTCGGCTGAGGACTCAGAGGCATTCAGTCTGAGGATTTGTGGAGGAGTTGGTGAGGTGAGAAGTGGCTGTGGCTTGTCTCCTCTGATCTTTCAGCATTTACCCCAATATCTGGCTCCAGGTTTTTATTAGGACTGTTTAGGATTCATGTAACAGCTGGGGCAGGAGGAAAATGAGCTTGAGACTATCTTGGACGACATAGCAAGTTCTAGACTAGTTTGGGCTACAGAGGATAGCCTTGCTTCAAAATGCTAAAGCAAAAACAAAAATTAGGGGCTGGAGAGATGGCTCAGCGGTTAAGAGCACTGACTGCTCTTCCAGAGGACCCAGGTTCAATTCTCAGAACCCACGTGGCCGCTCACATCTGTCGGTAACTAAAGTTCCAAGGCTTCTGACACCCTCACACAGACATACATGCAGGCAAACACCAATGCACATAAACTAAAAATAAATTATATATTAGGAAAAACAAAATTAAACCAATAAACATGAAACTCAAGGTTGCTTCATGCTCTTGAGTTTTTAGGTTTTGGACCATGCAGCAGGTGGGGATCTTAGCAACGGTGCTTTGAGGGGCCAGTTCGACACCTGGGGTCATTTCCAGAAGTTTTATCTCTTTCTTCAAGGCTAAGTTCTTTTATGAGACAGGTTTTCCTTTCTAGTTCACTCTTTCATCATCCCGTGGGCAGACGTCAATCTGAATGGAAGGCTCAGCAGCCACTTCTACAGCTGATAAGAACACTAAGCCTGGCTAGAGTCTCAGCCTGGCAGGGACACCAAGAGAGCCAGTGGGTTCAGCCTCTAAGTCTGTGCTTTTCCCCTTTTAAATTGTGTGTGTGTGTGTGTGTGTGTGTGTGTGTGTGTGTGTTTGTATATGTAAACGTGTATTTATGGGTATGTGCATGTGTGTTTGTGCATGTGTGTGTTTATTTGCATGTGTATGTTTGTGGGTATTTGTGTGAGTATGTTTGTGGGTATTTGTGTGTGTGTGAGGGTTGAGGTGGATATGTTTGTCTGTTCCTGTGTGTGCCACTTTGTGTGGAGGTTCGAGGATGGCCTCTAGTGTGGGTCCTCACTGGTTACCTTGTTGGAGTCAGGGCCTCTGTTGTTCAACACTGTGCACACCGGGCTAGCTGATCTGACAACTTGCTAAGATCTCCTGTCTGCACCTCCCATCTCCCCAAAGGAGCACTGGAATTACAGATACACCCTGCAGCACCCAACTTCTACTTGGACTCTGGGGATTTGAACTCTGCATTCGTGATTTTGGTTTTGTCTTAGTTAGGGTTTCTATTGCTGTGAAGAGAAACCATGACCACAGCAACTCTTCTAAAGCAAAACATTTAATTGGGGTCGTGGCTTACGTTTTCAGAGGTGTAGTCCGTTATCCCCATGGTGCAACATGGTGGCGTGCAGGCAGACATGGTGCTGGAGAAGGAGCTGAGAGTCCTACATCTTGATCTACAGGCAACAGGAAGTGAACTGAGTGTCACACTGAGCTCAGCTTGAGAAAAGGAGACTTCAAAGTCTGCCCCCACAGTGACACACTTGCACCAACAAGGCCACACCTCCTAATAGTGCCACTCCCTGTGAGCTTAATGGGGCCAATTTACATTCAAACTACCACAGATTTATTTTGGCTTTGGAGAGATGTCCTTTCTTTCTAAGCAGATCAGCTATGCATATCTAGGTATTTAAAAATAATTTGTTGTTGCTTTTGTTTTTGTTTTTTCAAGACAGAGTTTCTCCATAGCTCTAGCTGTCCTGGAACTCACTTTGTAGACCAGGCTGGTCTTGAACTCGCAGAGATCGCCTGCTTCTGACTCCCTGAGTGCTGGGATTAAAGGCATTCACTACCACTGCCCAGCAGTACTTTAAAATTTTTATTCAGTATTTTAAGAAATTTCTTAGCGTGTTTTTATTTTTGCTTTGTTGTTTTTATTGATAGCTTATGTGGCATGTTGCCAGAACAAAGCCCCGTTCATTCTTCAGTCCAGGCTGGTTGCACTCCTCTCCTGACCCCTAAACCTATTGCCTGTTTCACTACAAGAAAGAGGACCCTATCTTCTATAAAAAGAGGCCTGAGAACTTGAGACCAAACCTTGTTTGATTTTTGTGCTTCTAGATGTTAAAAGAAGCAACATTTTAAAAATGGTCTGTGCATATATGGAATTTTCAACTAAGACAGGTATTGTTTTTATGCAGAAGAAATGACCATCAAGGTAAATTATCTTTCAAAAAGCTCTTTGTAGTGGAGATTTGATATATTCACAGTCCTGTGAACTTAGAAAAGGTCAGTCCCAACCTGAGTGGCTGTTCCTGGCTTGGGAAGGCAAGCTGAGTCCTTGCTCAGTGAATACTCTGGTGACGGAGATGCTGGGTGAAGAAACCTTCTCACAGGCCCACCTGGCTGGGGAGATCGGCTATTCTGAGACCCTCTTTCATCGGGTATCCCAAGGCTTTGTAATAAATGGGTAAAACACTTGATCGTGTTAACATAAATGTGACCGCTGTATTGCAGTCTGTCTTTTGGCTCATTTCCTGTCCTACTCTGCCAAATCTATTCAGTCTCTTTCTGATACAGGGTCTCATGTAGACCAGGCTGGCCTTGAACTTGATACCTATCAGCAGTGGGCCTTGAGCTCCAGCTCCGCTTCCATGTCCTCAGTGCTGGGGTGACAGGCGTGCAGAGCACTCAGCTTTATGTTCAGTTTCCAGACGGACAGGAGACCTTGAAGAATGGAGAACAGAGATCTAAAATGGTAAGCAAACCAAGGAGAGCAGCATGGCATTACCAAGGTCCTGGTGGCTCGGCGATCCTCCTTTGCCAAGTCCCTAAACCACTCAAGCACCAGCTTCTACATTTAAAACTGGATCAGTGGTATTCTTCTTGCTTACTTCATATAATTGTGAAGACTCAATGAAACCGAGGCAGGATAGAAAGACAGGAAAAGCATGGGGCATGGTGTCATCACCGGTCGGTGTCTGGACCGAATGTTTCCCGATCTTGGCATCTTGTTCAAGAAAGAAATAAAGGCACACCACAGATGCAAAGTAGCAAGGCGACTTCATTCAAAGCAAAGTGATGGCGCTGATCAGAAAGAAATGTGCTGTCAAGAGGGACAGTGGGCAGTGTGGGTGGAGCTAAGTGGTCTAAGGATGGAGGGGCTGGTTACTGTGGGCAGTTCTCTATTTTGATTGACAGGTGTAAGTTATCTAGCCTTTTCTCTACTGCACATGTTCCTTCCCATAATGCATCTGACCGAAATCATGCACACTCTCAAATTACATAGTTATAAGATGACAAATAAGTCCCGAAATAAGGGTTTCTTTCTAAAATTTCACATAGAAGGTACTACCTTGCTGTGCAGGCACCCTAAACTATCCGAGGCTAGATCAACTCCCTTACCTTTGACTATAATGAGTGTGATTGAGTAAAAAACTATCTGAGCTTGACAGCTGTTAGGAGGGGAGAAAGTTAACCAGTGTTTGGAGTATGGGAGGGGTGCAGCTCAATGCAGGTGGAGTCCTAGATTACTCACAGGTTGCTAGGTGTATTATTTGGAGAGGGATGTGTGCTCATAGGATGTGTGGGTAAGGCTCTCAGGCTGCCCGGTGCCCAGACTAAGTGGAGTC